ATATTTTGTAGGATGATCCCCTTTCGGGATATGTCTGATGTTTTCCTAATGATCAGACTAAGGTTAAGAGTTTTGGAAGGAAGAGCATAATTTTCTTAAGAGAATTTGGTACCTACAGGTTAAAAACACATCTAAATTTCATCAAACTGTTACCATGGACATAACTCATGTATCATTTTTAGCACTATGCCTATATAAAATAATGTGATGATAAAAGAAATTGCTTTAAAAAAAAAAGAGGTGGATAACATAACACTACAAAGACAGCAAACAGTAGTCATCATAGTTCACTTTCCCAAGTCTGTTTTTTTTTTTTTTTTTGGCCTACGTACTTATAGATGACAGCAGAACACATTTCAATTCATCATACACAAATAGAGCACAACATTTCAATTCTCTGGTTGTACACGATGTAGGGTCACACCATTCATACAAACATGTATGTACCTAGGGTAATGATTCTGTCTCATTCCACCATCTTTCCTGCCCCATGACCCATTCCCTTTCCACCCTCCCCTATTAGAATCTGTAAACAAGTCTGGATGGTGCCTGGCAAAATGCCAGAGGGAGTGGTTTGTGAAGTAAGGCCAGCGAGCCTTTAAGTGTGGAGATTTCTTATTGGTTGACTGATGTATCTAGTTTATGCTAATTAAGCTGTGTGGAATGTATAAATACCGCTCCTGTCCTACAATAAACGGCTCCCACTCCTGCTATATCAATGTACACAAGTTGCTCATCACCCCCCCACCAGTTTGCTGCAGCTGGACTGTGGCAGATGGTGGCCCATACAGGGAACCCCGGGACACTTGGGGGTAAATGACGGAAAAAAAAAAAAAAAGCTGCCCATCCATAGATAGGACAGGAGCAATCTGCTCGTCCCTAGATAGGGCGAGAGGAAAAATGGCCATTTCGAGAAAATGGAGAAGATTGATACAGTATGTTTATGTTTTGTTTTATCTTGAAATGTTGTATTGTCTTTGTGATGAAAATATGGAAGGGGTGAGAAGTAAATTACTAAGGGAAGAAGGCACCCCAGTGGAACCGGGAATAGTTAGGGCATATGTTGATGGAAGCCCGGGAACTCTAGTCAGAAAGAAAAAGAAAGTTCAGAAGAAGAAGGATTATCAGGAAAAAAGTTGCAGCAAAAGGTTATTACTTAATACTTTTCGTTACCGGAGGGTGCGTGAATCGGAATCGGTGCTGTGGCTGCCACGTGCGTGAGCCAGACATGGCACAGCAAGGCTCTTCCCTGCCCCCAACCCGGGGAGCGGGACGCCACTGCGAGAGCCCAAATCCAAACCTGACCCGGAGACACAGTCTCTCGGGCTCTGGCTCCCTGTGCCCGGTGGCAGTTTGAGTCCGGGATGCTCCCGGACTCTCCCCAGGGCCATCTGGGGCTGCCCGAACGCTACAGCCAGCAAAAGTAGCGTCCCTGAAGTTTGATCATTTCTAAGGCCAGTAACTACAATGGTTCTCCCACACCTGGAAGCTGATGAGTAATGAGCGCCATTAAGGCCTATTTCAAATGTAAAAAACCTTGAGATAATGCACTAAATTGTTCAGAAGGTTGTTTTCTTAGTGGAATACTACAGGATTTTCTTTAGCCATCCAGAGTTCCTGCCTTCATCCCAGTGCCAATGAAGACGAAAGTGGAAGAATTTCCAGTGTTGCTGAGAACCGGTCGAAACTTCGGATCAAGCTAGCTGCCTGCAGAACTTACCTGGACTATGATTTAAGCTAGCTGCCTGCAGAACTTACCTGGACTGTGATTTACCTGGACTGTGAGTTAATCTATTGAGACACTGCTTTACCTGGACTGAGACAACAAACTGTAATCTACAATAAATTGTAACTCGGTATCTTTGCTAATGGTGTCATTGCTGATATAATTTTTCCAAGGGCTTCTTGCATGGAGCCATCAATTGGCTTGGTATTGTGACATTTTGTATCCTCCCCTTCTGCTCGTAGCAGATTATTTATGGTGTTTGTGTAAAAACCACTATGGTCGTTATTTAAATTAAACAAAAGGGGGAAATATTAGAGTCTGTAAACAAGTCTGGATGGCGCCTGGCAAAATGCCAGAGGGAGTGGTTTGTGAAGTAAGGCCAGAGAGCCTTTAAGTGTGGAGATTTCTTATTGGTTGACTGATGTATCTAGTTTATGCTAATTAAGATAAGCTGTATGGAATGTATAAATACCGCTCCTGTCCTATAGTAAACGGCTCCCACTCCTGTATCAATGTACACAAGTTGCTCGTCACCCACCCCCCCCACCCCCGTTAGTTTGCTGCAGCAGGACTGCGGCACTCCCCTATGCCCAATCCAAAGTTCCTGCATTCTCCCCATGCCCTGCCCCCATTATGCATCAGCATCCACTAACCAGAGCAAACATTCGGCCTTTGGTTTTTTGGGACTGGCTTACTTGGCTTAGCATGGTAGTCTTCAACTCCATCCATTTACCTGCAAATGCCGAAATTTTGTTATTTTAATGCTGAGTAATTTTCCATTGTGAATATATACCAGGTTCTTTATCCATTCATCTATTGATGGGCATCTAGGTTGTTTCCAGTTTAGCTATTGTGAATTGAGCTGCTATAAACATTGATGTGGCTGTGTCACTACAGTATGCTGATTTTAAATCCTTTGGGTATATACAGAGAGGGATATCTGGGTCAAATGGTGATTTCAATCCAAGTTTTCTGAGGAATCTCTATAGTGATTTCTAAAGTGGTGGCACCAATTTGCAGTTCCACCAGCAATGTCTTCCCACACATCCTCATCAACACTCATTGCTTGTATTCTTTTTTTTTTTTTAAGAGAGAATTTTAATATTTATATTTAGTTCTCACGGACACAACATCCTTGTTTGTATGTAGTGCTGAGGATCGAACCCAGGCCGAATGCAAGCCAGGCGAGTGCGCTACCACTTGAGCCACATCCCCAGCCCCTCACTGCTTGTATTCTTGATAACGGCCATTTTGATTGAAGTGAGACGAAATCTTACAGTAGTTTTGATTTGCATTTCTCTAATTACTAGAGATGTTGAACATTTTTTCATATATTTGTTGATCACCTGTATATCTTCTTCTGAGAAATGTGTGTTCGGTTCCTTAGCTCATTTATTGATTTGGTTGTTTCTTTCGTGTTAATTTTTAAGTTCTTTATATATCCTGGAGATTAGTGCTCTAGCTGATGTACATGTGGCAAAGATATTCTCCCACTCAGTAGGATCTCTCTTCATATCGTTGCTTCTTTTGTAACCCTGTTCTTCATGAACTAAAATTACTGTGAAAGTCTGATGAAAATGCATAAATAACACATAGCTAGTTCAATTCTCCCCCCCCCCCTTCTTGGTACTAGGGATTGAACCCAGGGGTACTTAACCTCAGAGCCATATCCCTAGCCCTTAATTGTTTAATTTGAGACTGGGTCTTACTAAATTGCTCAGGATCTTACTAAGTTGCTCAGGGCCTAGCTAAATTACTAAGGCTTGCCTTGAACTTGTGATCCTGTGCCACTGCACCCAGCTGGTTCAATTCTATTTATCTTCAGAGGTAAAAGGTGAGGTTTATGTATATCTATATTTTCAAAGCACATTGTCACTTTTTTTTTTTTTTTTTTTTGTCTACCAAATAAACAAATAAGCATTGTGCAGGATTCTCTAGCTTTTGGGGCAAAAATAGCCTGTCCCAAATCTGTAGAAAAATTTCAGCAGGCAATCCTTTTCAAAGAATGGTCTCCTGCTAGGTGCAGTGGTATATGTCTGTAATCCCAGCAGCTCGAAAGGCTGAGGCAGGAGAATCCAGAGTTCAAATCGAGCCTCAGCAAAAGTGAGGCACTAAGCAACTCAGTGAGACCCTGTCTCTAAATACAAAATAGGGCTGGGGATGTATCTCAGTGGTCGAGTGCACCTGAGTTCAATCCCCAATAACAAGCCCCCCACCAAAAAATTGTCTCTTCAATGGTCTTCAAACCTTAAAGAGTGTTATCAGATCTATCTGAGTGCTTGTTAAAACACAGATTTTTGGCTGCCATACCTAGCAGTTTCTGATTTGGGGTCTGGGCTGAGATCTCAGAGTATCCATTATTTTAACAAATTCCCGATGATGCCATGGCTACTGGCCTGAGGCACACCATGAAAACTACTGTTTCACAATGAGGAAGAAACTACATTTATTCAGTGCCTATGATGAGTAAGACATTTTACATATATAATCTTATTAACTGACTAGTTGTAGGATCTTAGCATGTGGGTATAATTTTCCTTTCCTTTAAGTGGAGAATCTTGGGGTATGGAGGCACTGAGGAACACACCTCCTGAGAAGATAATGACATTAGGAGCAAAACTACAACTCAGATGTCCACCCAGTTCTAATGTCCATGTTCTTCTAATACAGTGTATTGTACTGCTTCTTGTTCATTAAAGGAGTGAAATATATAAATCTTCAGCATGCTCATTTGAAAAAAGGGAAAGTGGCCATGACTCTCAATGAAACCTAGGCAAAGGCTCAAGGTCATGGAGAAGAATCACTTGTTTCTGAACTTCTAAAATAAGGGAGAAGTGAATTTATTGTACAATTAACAAAACAGGATAAATTTATTTAATATAGAACTGAATATTCCTTAATTACTACTATTATTCATTACAGAAAACATATATTTAAATAAAGTCCTTAAGAGAATAATCTCATTTAAATTTAAAGCAGCATACTATTCTTACTCTAAATGTCTGCCAGTGCACACTACATCATTAATCAACACACTTACTCTGAAGTAACACAGCATGGTGGTCTTCAGCAAAATACTCTGACAAGTGCTAAAATTTTTATCTTCTTTTACAAAGCAAATCAAAAATAGTGATATAACAATAAGCAATTTAAGTTATAAGTGGTACATTAATACCATAAATAGATAAAAAAATGAAGTTGCCAATAATATAAATTTGTTATTTTGTTATAAGGTATATTAAAAAGGCAAGGAGACACAAAATTACTGGGCTTCAGATTTAAAATAATTAGTGAGATCTAAATTTCAGAATGACAAAAAAATCACCCAACTCTCTATCTCTATCAAAACACTTTATATAAGAAAGATTCCCTTTTAAATATTTATACACATATTACCATTAATACTGTTAATAAAACTCATAGATATATTTATTTAAATAAGAATTAATAAACTTCCCCAAATGCTGATTTTTATAGCACAAAGCATAATTATTTTAACTCAACACTCTGGGTGGCATATTGAATACAATGCTTCTTTAGATAATATTAACAAGCAAAATTTTAAGAATATAATTTCATCTACAGGTCAGATAAAGCTTTATTAAATGGTAAACACTTGTAACAGTGCAGAAATACAAGTTTCAAAAATAATACATTCAGAAGATCTGCTGTTCAAATAATATTTTCTCAAAACCGGGTGGAGGAGTATGATAAAATTCACTGAACTGGCAATCCAAAATTGCACTGTCATCAACTAGAAGATAGAAAAAGAAAGAAAATAAATTAGAAGTAAACACCTTTGGAATGAATGCATAATTACAAAATCTACTGTTTTTGGACTAGGGATGTAGCTCAGTGGGAACACCTGCTTAGCAGGCATGAGGTCCTGGGTTCCATCACCAGCACCACAAAAAAGTTAAAAATTAAAATAAATTGTTTTCTTAATATCATAACAGGAAAGAAGAATAAACCTTTCTGTTGTCCAGGCTACAAAATCTATTAGTATTTAGTAAAAATACTCAAACAAAAAGCAAAACCTATCAAAAACACTGGAAGGGTATACATCAAAACATTATTAATAATTATTTCATGCCAACTGCAGTGGCACATGCCTGTGGTCTCAGCTATTAAGGAGGCTAGGGGAAAGAGGATCTTAAGCCCCGGAGTTTGAGCGCAGCCTGGACAACAAAGCAAAACCCTGTTTCTTAAAAACAAAAACCTCCAGATGGTGTGAATATGGGTATTTCAAATATTTTTGGTATTTTCTCAATTTTATATAATTAAGATGTATTATTTTATAATATAATGGCTTTTTGGAAAAAATTACGGATTCGTGGGTATTTGCAAATATACTATAAGGAGTCTCATGTATCCTTCATTCAGCTTGCCCCGGTGGTAACATCATATATTCTTATACTACAATATCCCCAGGAAACTGACACTGATATACTACTGTGAACTAGACTACAGGTCTTATTTAGCTTCTTCTACATGTTTTTGTTTGTTTTGTTTTTTGTGGTAGAAGGGATTTAACCCAAGGGCACTCTATCACTGTGCAATCCCCCTAGCACTCTTTATTTTATTTTGAGACAAGATCTTGCAAAGTTGCTCAGGCTGGCCTCCAACTTGCAATCCTCCTGCCTCAGCTTCCTGAATCACAGGGATTACAGGCATGTAACACTGTGTCTGGCTTCTTATAAGTATCTACTCAAGAGAAATCAATGTGTATATTCATACAAAGGCATAAACATGAATGTTTATATCAACTTTATTTGAAATGGTCCAAAACTGGAAACAGCCCTAATATCTACTAACTGGTGAAGAGATAAACAAATTTTAATACATTTACACAATGATCTATATCACTTGGCAGTAAAAATGAATGAATCAATGGTACATGCCAAAATATGGATGAATCTTAATTATACTAAAAAAAAAAAAAAGAAACGAGACAGAGAAAGAGTACAAACTGTATGACTCTGCTTATATACTACTTAAAAAAAAGCAAGCTAATCTGTAATGACAGAGAGAAGCTCCATAGTTGCCTGGTTAGGGTATGGTTGGGGTGAAGTCGGGGAGAGAGTAGGGAGAGGTGAGTAGGAAGAATGACAGGGGCAGGAGGAAACTTTTGGGGTGAACATGTTCGTTATCTTATGATGATGATGAAACGAAGCAAAATATCATGAGAAGCAAAATAAGCACATAATTGGTACTAACGAGGAATGCAGCTGTGGTAGGGGATGTATACTGGGTGCTGAAAATGTTCTGTGTTTCTTGATCTAAGTGGTAATAATGTTGAGTGTTCACAGTTTTTGTTAAACTGCATAAATATGTTTAATGAACATTACTATATATTTTACAGTTCAGAAAATAAACACAGAAAAAAGTACTAGAATTGACGTTCATGAAATCACCAGTGATTTTAATAAGGTTGGTTTCAATGAAGTGGTGGTAATGACAGCCAGGCAGGGTTGCAGAGGAAATGAATGATAACAATAAAGTTACTGGGTTTAGGTCATTCTACAAGAAGTGTGGATACTCAGAAAAAGGTGAACACAGGGCTTTCGAGGGATTCAAGTTCAAGGGAGGACCTCTGAGATGGGAAAGACTCAGAATGTTTATAAGCACAGGAGAAAACTAGATGACATATAATGTAGACAAAATAACTGAAGTCTTAGAGTTGGTGAGTTTGAAATCTAGACCTCATTTTCCATGTGAAAGGAACCATTTCCTTTGAAATGGATGGAAATACAGCAAGATTAGAGTCATCCCCAAAAACTTCAGAAGGGAAGGGAGGAAAGCTGGAGTTTAATGCTAATAATCTGTTTCTTTATAAGTAGAAGGCAAGAGCATCTATGAAGATGGGTAGGGAATTCTAGAAATGCAGTAATGGTCTCAAATACACAGAGATATAAAAGAATTGCCAAAACTATTAAGAGCTTAAATTAGACTGGAAGTCCTGACTTTGAATAACACTTCTTCAATGTTATGCAGTTTTTTCTTACAAAGGCTGAATTTAAGAACAGAAAGAATGGCTGGATTGTTCTAGGAATGGGAGGAGATGGAAGGCAAAGGGAAAGGGAATTAAGTTGGATTTGAGTTTATCAAATTCAAATCGAAAATGCACTTCACTACATATAGTTTGTGATCTTTTAACTTTGCTTCATTAAAAATAATGCTGAATAAGCTGGGTATGGTGGCACATGCCTGAAACCCCAGTGGCTTGGGAGGCTGAGGCAGGAAGATGGCAAGTTCAAAGCCAGCCTCAGCAATGGTGAAATAAGGTCTCAGTGAGACCTTGTCTCTAAATAAAATAGGGCTGGGGATGTAATCAGTGGTCGAATGCCTCTGAGTCCAATACCAGGCACCCACGCCCCCAAAAAATGCTGAATGAAAGAAGTACTTTAGAATAATTTTATTTGGTACGCTACATTTCCACCTATTAAGTAAATAAAGGAATTACAGGGTTTCCCATTACGCAAAAACATTAACAGAAATTAAATTTAAAAGCACTTTTACATGCAAAGACACAGAAGGCAAAAATCATTGAAAAGTAATTTTTAGGAGAAAAGAAGTCTAAAACCTTAACTACAGAGTAAATCATAGGGCTGGGGTTGTGGCTCAGCGGTAGAGCACTCACCTGGCATGGGCGAGGCCATGGGCGAGGCCCTGGGTTCGATCCCCAGCACCATATAAAAATAAATAAAGATATTGTGTCCAATTACAACTAAAAAATAAATATTAAAAAAAAAGTAAATCACAGGTTGGGGGTGTAGTTCAGTGGCAGAGCACTTGCCTAGTATGTGTGAGGCACTGGGTTCGATCCTCAGCACCACATAAAAATAAACAAATAAAATAAAGGCATTCTGTCCATCTACAAGTATAAAATTTTTTTAAAAAGTAAATCACAAGCTTTGATTATTATATTATCAAATATTTGTATTTGTTATTGTACATTTCTGTGACATAATAATCTGTCATCACTAACATTACTATCTTTATAGTAAACTATCCCCTAAAAGGTAATTTTTATTATGACCCAAATCTAAGAACTTTACAGTAATTAAATAATAAAACATTTTAAACTTACTAAAAGTTAGAAAAATCGTATGCTTATTGATTTAGAGTAAAGCAGAAATGAGTGATAAAGCCACTATGGTTATTTTTTTTTTCTAAAAAAAGAGAGACAGCTTGGTTTTTAGAGATAAATGCAAAATATTTATGAACAAAATGATAAAATGTCTGGTATATGCCTCAAAATAATCTAAGGAGGGAAGGAAAAGAATTGGAAAAGAGTGGGGGTAGATGAAAGTCTACTGGCACAAGTGGTAATTGTTTGAAGCTGGAGGATYAGTATACGAGGTTCATCATACTAGCATCTTTACTTCTGTACATGTTTGAAATTTTCTATAAAAAAAATTTAAAGTAATTAAGTAGTACAGAGTCATTTCTTAAGTAACCCAATTCTTGGAAGGACATACCTGCACACAAATGTTGGCACTTATACACCTACAGTTATTAAAAGCAAGACAATCAATAAGAAACTAGTCTAGGTCACCATTTCTTTCAGAAGAGTGTTAACATTTAGGTGATTTTTTAAGGTAACAAATGCTCATTCTACATAAAAGTCCCATATCTAGTTCTAAAAATTCTTTATAAATATTGTTTATAAACAATATTGTTTATAAACAAGTTATTAAATTCTTCTTAGTAACTGGCAGAAAAAGCTTTGTAAATTCACCAGAGCTTTTTGGAAAAGGATACATGATGAAAAGATAATATGGTTATTGAGTACTTAACTATAATCATTGTATTTAGAAAGGTCTTTTTTTTTTTAAAAAAAAAAAAAGAGGCTTTTAAAAAACTTTATTTTATTTATTTATATGTGGTTCTGAGGATGGAACCCAGGGCCTTGCACGTGCGAGGCAAGAGCTCTACCGTTGAGCCATAACCCCAGCCCCTAGAAAGTTTTTTTTAAAAAAATTTTTAGTTGTTTATTTATTTATATGTGGTGCTGAGAATTAAACCCAGTGTCTCACACTATGCCAGGCAAGTGTCTACCACTGAGCCCCAGCCCTAGCGAGAGTTTTCTTGTGGGGAAAAATATTCTTCATTCCGCAAAGAGGAAATCTAAGAGCATGTATTCTAAAAAGTCCTTATTAATAACTTGTCTGAACTTGTGAATGATTGTTATAAAATTCATGTGAATGCCAAACAAAAGTTAACATACATCTAATAATATGAGAAATATTTTAGCTTACCATAAACAACTGGATACACTGTCCCTCGTATACCTGATGCAGGACAATGCATGTTTTTTCCATTCAAATATACATTTAATTCTACATGGTCATATGTAATACCCTATGAAGGAAGGAAAAAATAAAAAAGCCCCATAAGTATTAGGAATCATGAAAGCAAGAAAATAAACAAAAACCCAAGCATAGGGTCACTATAGTTTCCATTAAGGGTTTACAATCTGTTAGAACTCCACTTAAACTGTACTATAAAAATCAGTAGAGATTGTGTAGGGAAAAAGGCCAAGTAAGATCCCCAGAATTGACAGTGTAGCTTAAATCCTAATATTATTATTTGTATAATCTGTTTTTTTTTTTACTTTGAAAACAAAGTGACATACATGATGTAAGTGCTGCATGCCATAAACAGACTTTTTTTTTTTTTTTTGGTGGGGGGAGTACCGGGGATTGAACTCTGGGGCAGTCAACCACTGAGCCATCCTCAATCCTATTTTGTATTTTATTTAGAGACAGGGTCTCACTTAGTTGCTAAACACTTTGCTGTTGCTGAGGCTGGCTTTGAACTTGCAATGCTCCTGTCTCAGCCTCCAAGCAGCTGGGATTACAGGCATATGCCACCATGTCCTGCCAAGACTTTTTAAACTCATAAATGAAACACTGTTCTTTGCTGGGTGCATGCCTGTAATCTCAGCTATTCAGGAGGCTGAGGCAGGAGGATAGCAAGTTAGAGGCCAACCTCAGCAATTTACTGAGAACTGGACTCAAAATATAATTTTTAAAAGGGCTGTGGGTATAACTCAGTGGCAGAATGTCCCTGGGTTCAATCCCTAGAATTGCACCAAGGAAAAAAGAAACAACAACAACAACAACAACAACAACAAAAACCACTGTTCTCTGTAGAATTTGATCTTAAGGGAGGAAGATTCGAGGTTTTCATTATTAGGTCCTATTACCTGTGAGTGTTTTCAAGTTGTGAAGAAATGTCTTATATAACTTTATTTCCAAGAAGAAATCTACCCTGGTCTAAAAAATGTCCAGTGTATTACTAAGGTAAAATTAGTTTTTGTAATTAAATAAGATTGGCAGCATCACACAAAAAAATAGTAGCTCAAAAGATTTAAAATAGGGCTGGGGTTGTAGTTCAGTAGTACAGTGCTTGCCTACCATCTGTGAGGCACTGGGTTCAATCCTCAGCAACACATATAAATAAATAAATAAGAGTATTGTATCCATGTTTAACTAAATATTACACACACACACACACACACACACACACACACACACGTGGCTTCAAAACAAATAATGGAATAAAAGTATATTACTTTATTTTAAAATTTTCTTGTAGCTGTAGATGGACAGCATGCCTTTATTGTATTTGTTCATTTATTTATTTTATGTGATGCTAAAGATTCAACCTGTGCCTCACACATGCTAGGCAAATGCTCTGCCTAGAGCTGCCACAGAGCTACAGCCCTAGCCCAAAAGTATATTACTTGTATACATTACTGATGGTGGGAAAAGAGCACAATTAGTAATAATAATAATTATTATTAAAATGCTACAGAACACTTAAGATAGCGTAGGTACTTCGTATGTACTCACTTAATCCTCACAACAAGATAGATATTATTAGTCCCATTTTTATCGATGTGGTAGCTAAAGAACAGAAAGATTAAGCTTGCACAGCTAGGAATGGCAGAGCTGAGATTTAAATTTATTCAGGCTGGTTTCAAATACTTGCTTTTAAATCACCATGCCATACTGCCTCTCTTTATATCTTTATACAATATAGGTTGGGCATCTCTATCTGAAACTTTTTGAGGGTTGACAATGATAGCACAAGGGAAAAATTCCACACCTGACTTTCTACAATGGGTCGTAGTCAAAAAACACAGGCATGCTAAAAATATTGTATAAATTACTTTTAGGCTATGCATTTTGTGTTTAGACTTGGACCTCATTCCCAAGATACCTAATTATGTATATACAAATATTCCAGTATCGACCAAAACCTGAAATCAGAAACACTTCTGGTCCCACGCAGTTCAGATGAGGGATACTCAACCTGTAGTTACTAACTAATGACAAAAAGAGATCTTTCCTCTGAAGAAGTAAGAACAGACAACAGAGATTTTTCAATTGATAAATCACTGCAAACCAAGAAGCAAACTACTTCAAGGACTTCTGAATGTGGATAAATTATATCACTTTAAAAGGCTTTTAGAGGTAGAAACAGATCTAACAGATTAAGTCTTAACTTTTTCCCTTTCTAGATAAGATAGCAAAGGCCCAGAAAAGCCATTGTGTTAAGTTCTATACAAGTGTCTCCTCAAATTTGATCAAAGCTGGGAATAAACAATGATTTATTAAAAATTAAAAAACATTGAGAAAGATGAAGAATATATAGATTGCCTTTGCTTCATTTTAGTTTATATATTTAAATATAATAATAAAGTTAAGTGGGATTAGTTTTTTTAATGATGAGATTTGTTTTAAAAAAACAAAAACCCAACTACATAAGAAAAGAAAGTATGTTAATCTCTTTATGGGACTATAGGAAATGTAGCAGTTCAACAAAGTAGGTTGTAATCCAGGCAACCTTCACCACTAGGTAGCAAATACTCTATTGCAAGCAAGTGAGTTTTAAATCCAAGTCTCTAGCAGAAAAACAAAACCTAGTACCAAAGAAAGGCAAAGTTTAATTCAAGTATTTTCTAACTTAATCTGTTCTTTTATGTAATCTAGAAACTGGGTTTGATCCTGCCATGATGATACTAAAAGCACATGAGAATGTTTTTCCTGTCTTATAATTCTTTCTACTTTTTGCCAACTGTCAACAATTTGGCAAAATTTCTTCTCAAGGGTTTGAACACACACACACACACACACATATGAATAATATTTTACTTTTTGCCTTGCATATATTTCTTTTTTTTAAAGATATTTTTTAGTTGTCAATGGTTCTTTTATTTTATTTTTTTATATGTGGTGCTGAGGATTGAACCCAGGGCCTCACACATGCAAGGCAAGTGCTCTACCCCTGAACCACAGCTCCAGCCCCGCATATATTTCTTATTTTTTAGTTCTTCTTTTATTAGAATGGGTATGGAAATTTAAAGTGTAATTTAATAATGCTGACAGGCTAAAAATGACATTCTTAGATCTTTCAATCTGTGATATCAGTCATCATGAATGAGATAAGATATGAAGGCAAGAGTAACACACAGAAGTTCAGCATATTAACAAAGAAAAACATTTGTTACTGATTATTCTTATGTTTGAATTTCATCTTTTAGTGTAAATAAGTTGACAGCCTTAACTCCAAAGATTTTTTTCTTTTATGAAACAACCATTTAAACAAGGATGTTCCATATTATACACATCTGTCAATGATCTATGAATATAAACAAACTATTTAAAAAAAAAAGAACAGGGAAAGACAGGTTTTAAAACAGGTTATGACTTTTGTCTCCTTTTCTTCAACTTAGAAAAAAAACTTCAAACAATTAAAAAACCCATTTTTCATATTTTTTTAAGTTGCATTAGAGAATATTAGACCACAATTGAAAATTTTAGGGCTAGGAATGTGACTGAATGGTAGAATGATTACCTCACATGCACAAACCCCTGGGTTCAATCTATAGTACTGCAAAAATACTGAAAAAAAAAAAATCCCACACTTTTCTTTTAGTCTTTCTAAAATCCTGTATATTTCTTTAATTCAATAACCTGCATTTGTCTTGTCTGGGTCATCTTATTAGGAGAAACTTTCCTTCATTATTCAGATTCCTTTCACCTTGATAATTAGAACCAGGAACCCAAGGTTCTGTGTACAAGGGTATGTTGGTTAAATGAGACTCTAGGACTCCGTTCTCAATCAACAGCTAACTTGGCTTGGACTCTAGAGACAGGGTTCTAGGCTAACATGAGTTGAGAAGAAGTGTCTAGGAAAAAAGATGAGGTCTTTGGGTTGCATTTTTAACAAGTCGCTTTGGTAAAGAGTGAAATAAGTCCCTTTGGGAAAGAAAATAAAGAATTCTTATAACATGTGACTCTTCTAAATAAACCTTTTCTACACTTAAGTCTTAGGATTTTCAGTATAGTTCTCTGAAGATTTCTGAATGTGGAGGAGGTTTAATTAGATTAAGTTTAATGAAGACAGCCACTTCTAATTTAAAAATGCTGTAAATTTCAAACAGATGTTCAATAACAAATTAAGTATTTCCATTCTCAAAAATATCTACTATTTTCTAATACAAGGTCAGCAAATGTTTCAAATTGAGGCCAAGTTTTCTCTGATGTGACTTCTAGAAGTAGGAAATAGTGCTCAGCAGCCAATCTGTCAGTAATCTACTTGAGAGGAAGCAAGGACTCCCTCTGATGCCCCCGGGCAGTGGCAGCTCTAGAAGGGAGAAGGTAATGAGGTAAGGCAGTGGCATCTACACCAAGTGCTCTCTCTGGAAACTGTTCCACCTCATTAGATTCAAACCCAGGCTTTGGAATCCAAACTACAAACTCCCAGGCAAAACTGTTATCTACTCAAAGCAGCTCAAGTGTAATAATTTACAGGGGATAGCAGCTCTAGCTACTAGAAGACTCACCACCACGTCTCCCTCCTGTGGAAGGCTGTTTGCTGGCAGCCTGTTTTTCTCTTCATTGTTGTGGTATAGGGCTCCATCATTTCTCATCACCAGACTGTGCACATCTCGGCCAAGGGGAATCTGATTCAGGTTAACCTTCTGAGTTGCAACACCAATACCCCATATTCCTAAAAATACAATGGTTTAAATGCCCCCCCAAATCGGAAGATCGCAAATATAAAAGAGTTATTTTAAAAGGGAGCATAAACTGTTTTTTTATTAAGAAGTATCACATTATCACTAAACTCTTTTCTTTGAATCTCTAAAAAAAATCTTTTAAAAGTAGTTTGCAAAGTGTATGTTTTCTACAGATAAGATGCAGCCAAACTAATTAATGGCTGATTCCTCATCTGTGAACTGTGGAGTCTAAAAGTACCACTTTATAGAGTTAGGAAAAAATAAGATCCAATAAACCAACCAAAATAGTGAAGTATTAAAAAAAAGTGTGTGGGGGGGTATTATGTATAAAAAAATGCCAGCTATTGTCATTATTCTTCTCTTTTTAAAAATATTTATTTTTTTAGTTATAGGTGGACACAATATTTATTTTATTTTTATGTGGGCTGAGGACTGAACCCAGTTCCTCACGCATGCAAGGCGAGCACTCTCCCTGAGTCGCAATCCCAGCCCCCATTATTCTTCTCTTAAGAAAATTTTTTTAAAATGCTACAGGGCTTGGAGTATAGCTCAGAGGTAAAGCACTTCCCTAGCATGCATAAAGCCCTGAGTTTTGAATTTATACAAATACACATTGAATTTAAGTGGTCTAGAGTTCTCTCAAGATTACCTCTCAGTGAAAGATTACTGTCTTCAGTTTTTGCATCTATAAAAAGTGACAAATAATGTATATTTTTAACAATATAATGGAGAGAAGAAAAATCAATGATAAGGTATAAAATTATTTTCTTATTAAAAGTTGAAGTCAGTGAATTAAAACCTTTTGGTCTAAGCTGACTTTTGAAATAGCAGCTTTCCTTTTAACAGGCCGAACAGAATACTTATATTTTTATCTCAAACTGCTTCCATCTCATTTTTTATAAATCAGGAGAAATTCTATACATGGAAGAAGGTTTTAAAGACCATGTTCTCTTGGGGCTGTGGTTGTGGCCCAGCAGTTGCCTAGCACATGCGAGGCGCTGGGTTCAATCCTCAATGCCACATAAAAATAAATAAATAAGCCAGGTGTGGTGGCACATGCCTGTAATCCCAGCAGCTCGGAAGGCTGAGGCAGAGGATGGCGAGTTCAAAACCGGCCTCAGCAATTTAGAGAGGTGCTAAACAACKCAGTGAGACCCTGTCTCTAACAAAATACAAAATAGGGCTGAGGATGTGGCTTGGTGGTTGAGTGCTCCTGAGTCCTATCCCTGGTACCCGGCCCCCCAAAAAATAAAATTAATAAAGGTATTGTGTCCAACTACAACTAAAAAAAAATAAAATAAAAAAATAAGACCATGTTCTCAATATATTAATTTTTTTGGATTGAGTGAGACCATCAGAAACTTGCATGTCTAAACTTCACCATCTTGGCCTTTGAAATAATATGACCATATACTTTGTCCTCCAAAGTAAGACTGTTATGAGAGTAACAGGAGGTGACAATACTAAATTCACAGGATAACACTTGCAGACAGGGTTCAACAGTCTCCTTACTCCTAAAGAACTGTGCACAGCCAGGTTTGGTGGTACATGCCTATAATCCCAGGGGCTCAGGAGCCTGAAGCAGGAGGATCACAAGTTCGAGGTCATCCTTAGAAACTTGTTAAGGCCCTAGGTAACTTAGTGAGACCCTGTCTCAAAATAAAAAATAAAGAGAATTGGGGTGTGTCTCCTGGGTTAAATCCCTGGTACCAAAACAATAACAAATTAAATAGAACAAAACAAAACAAAAAGCCTCAAACTGTGCACAATTGCCTCAAGCTTTCAACATAGGATCAATGCTACAAACTCCAACAATCCATTTATCCTAGGGATATCATTAGGGATGAGATCCTTTACAGAAAATCCACATAAAAATTTTTATTAGATTTTAAGGCTCAAGCTATTCAATTTTCTTGAGAAACAAGTATGTTATACTTGAGAACATTATAGTAACCAGGAATATTTTGCAGCCAGTGAGCTAACAAATGACAGATTCAGACTTATATAGTCCTTTAAGAAAAATCACTATTTAAAACTAATATAGAGGGGCTGGGGTTGTAGCTTAGTGGTAGAGTGCTTGCTTAGCATGTGTGAAGCCCTGGGTTCAATTCTCAGCACTGCAAATAAAAACATAAAATAAAGGTCCATTGATAACTAAAAAATATTAAAAAAATAAAAACTAATATAGAAAACAAGACAGGCAAGATGGTACACACCTGTAATCCCAGCTACATGGAGGGCTGGGGCTGGAGGATTATAAATTTTAGGCTAACCTCAGCAATTTAGCAAGACCTTGTCTAAAAATGGAAGGAAGGAAGGAAGGAAGGAAGGAAGGAAGGAAGGAAGGAAGGAAGGAAGGATGAAAGGAAGGAAGGAAGGAAACAAGCCCCAGAAGGATATTCTGTATTATTTTATATTATTATATTATTCAAGGAGTTGAGTAATAGAGAAATTATTTACTCCTATTATACAGTTCTATCATATGCCTGAGTAAATAAAATGGTGAATTTAAAACCTCTTAATAATGCTATTATCTTATATTTACTCAGCATATTCCGTCTTTAAGACACTTTCATACTTTTTTCTCACTTTCTGTGAGGGAGGGAAAAAGACAGCTCCTATAATCCCCATTTTATAGAAGAGAAAACGGAATCTAATTTAACAAAATTGACTAATTTTGTGTGATCCTGGTTTAATTTAACCAGGATCACACAATGACAAGTGGAAGATTCAAGTATTCTAAGAAAGAGTTTGGAATCTTTTTTTATTACCTCCTGAATCTTTTTCATATATTTAAAATTTTTCTTAATATTTAGAACAATTAAGACCTGAAATAATAAAGTGCCATTATACTAACCTGTAGACTGGATTTTGAATTCAAAGTAGCTTTTGTTTTGATGTAAAGGTGCACTGGCTAAACAACCTCCTGTTCCACATATTCTTCTTCCATTTTTTACAATGACAACATCTGTTCCTAAACAAAAAAAGCAGACACTATATAAAGTTTTATATTTTCATATTCAACAACTAGGGTTAATTCATTCACTTCTAACATTTAGTTCACAAAAAATAGGGATGTTATAAGTACTTTGAAATACAGGAATACTGATCAATAACTTTAAGCACTTAATTCACTGTTTTATTATATAGGAACATTTCTATATAATATTCATTTGTAGCTATAAGTCTTGGTTAATTAAGTTGTTTCAAATAAACTATAATAACTTTGTATTATGCTGAATATTTAAAATACTTGTAAGGAAGAAATAGACTAACTCATTTAGTTTTTAGCCAATAAACAAATTAGATAATTTCATAAATTTTTTAAAGATATAAACACAAGAAGGTTTAGTAAATTAGTGCAATTTTTAATTCATTCTATCCAGGTGAATTAAATCTACTAATACCAATGGAATGTCTACTAAGAACAAGACACTATACTAATGCATCAGTCAAGTAAGCATTGAAGAGTACACAGAATATGGAAAGGAACACATATCTATGTTGAAACAGCTGACACTGAAAAATGTCCCTTTTAGGATCTCCCGCCCCCACTTTTAGGATCTTAAAAGGTTTGTTTAGCTAGCTCCTGTCCATCACATGGCTATATGTAAACAGGTTTTAACATCAGTAAACACTCTTTCTTCTCACTGAAAATTTTAGTTTCAGCTCAAATAATATTTATAGATGAGAGAAAGAAAAATGCCATCTCCTCATATGTGACTCCACTACGGATTTGTTTCCAAACCTTGGTTTAGGAAAGCATGTATATCAAAGAAAATTAAGAGACAACATAAGTCTAACATGTAATAAATATCCTTTAATACAAAGGGATGTGAGTCCCAAAGCCTGTGGCCAATATTGCCATCTCACTGGCAAAAAGTGCATAAAACAAAGCATATCTAGGTATCAGAACTGTGTGAGATTCATCCAGAAGTGTTAAATAAAACTACCGAACAGTTTTAGAAGGCTGAATTCATATTTAAAAAAAAAAAACTATTTGGCATAAACACATAAGAGAAATGCAAAAAAAATTAGATTCTATCATTCTCTCTCTTAAGGTTAACACTTAGATTCTATCATGATTATTAAACATATATTAACATCTATTATTTTATAATTAAAAATGTTAAAACCAAATTCTGAGAAAGAATCATAAATAATTTGTATCTACCCTACATACTTTTTCATTTTTGGTACCAGGGATAGAACCCAGGGGTGCTCAACCATTGAGCCACATCCCCAGCCTTTTTCACCTTTTATTTTTGAGACAGGGCCTTGCTAAGCTTCTTAGGGCCTTGCTAAGTTGTTCAGGCTGGTTTTGAACTCGATATCCTCCTGCTTCTGCTTCCCAAGTCATTGGGATTACAGGAGTGTACCACAGCACCTGGCTACTCTACATACCTCTGTAGTTGCAACCGGAGAGCATTCTCCCTGATGGCAAAGACCCTGCAGTGTTTGGCATCTAGTGGACGCTCAGCAAATTTGTACAATGAATGAATAAATAAGCTGTGCTAAGTAAGCACTTCGTAGAGGACATGTAGCATCTGTTTTCCCTTTCTGGATATACTTCCCCCTGGGATCAAACAATTCCAAGGAAGATGATTCAATCTCTGACTTCAGGGTACAGCATTTGATCTACGTTAAATCAATCAGTAAAATCCAAATTTCGTGGTTACAGTGATAAATCAAGAGTGGTCATGTGATATAACAAAAAACAATTAGAGACTAAGTGTGAGGATTTTTGCAGAGAAGCATGGAAATAAAGACACTTTCATTCATCCAGGCCCCAGCTACTCTGGAGGCTGAAGCAGATGGATCACAAGTTCAAGGCTAGCCACAGCAACTTAGGGAGACCCTGGTCTCAAAATAAAAAGTAAAAGAACTGGAGATATAGCTCAGTGGTAGAGTGCCCCCCAGGGTCAATCCCCATTACCTCAAAAACAAAACAAAAAAAGTCATTCTTTTTATATCTGAATGAGGAAGCCTATAGCCCAGGCAGCTGCTTCAAGGGTTCTTGGAAGTTAGTCTTCAGGAATAACAGAAGACAGAGGAAAGAAATGAAAAGAAACCAAGTTGTTGGTAGTGCTGAGTCTTTCCTGAAGCCAGGGCTCCCTTTGTACTTTTCAATTACAAGTACTAATAAATTTCCTTCACCATTTAAACAATTCTGAGTTGTTTTTTTTTCACTACCCGAAACTGAAAGCATCCTTATAAAACATATTTCCAAAGATTATACAAACAAATGGTAAATTCTTTTTCTTAACTGGCAGTGAGTGGTCTGTGGTTCTCCCACAATACTAAAACCTTTTAATAACCAGCTTCTATAATAGATAACTTATTGTCTTGGATTTCATCCTTGCTAAGTTAATAGAAATACAAGACTTTCAAAACAATATAGTCTGCCAGGTGTTGGTGGTGCATGCCTGTAATTCCAGCAGTTTGGGAGATTAAGGCAGAAGATCCTAGCTTTGAAACCAGCCTCAGCAACTAAGGGAGGCTCTATCAACTTAGCAAGATTCCTATCTCAAAATAAAAAAAAAAATAAAAATAAAAAAATAAAAGCAGTTCAGTGATTTAGTGCCCTTGGGTTCAATCCCTGGTACCAAAACAAAACTAAATAAAATAATATAGTCTGCTCTCAGGGTTGAAATCACAGAAACAACTCTAAACACGGTATTCTCTTATTTCAATATTATTTTTTTCTGGGCTGGGGCTGTGGTTCAGTGGTAGATCGCTTGCCTGGCATGTGTGAGGCACTGGGTTCAATCCCCAGCACCACATAAAAATGAAATAAAAGTACTGTGTCCACCTACAAATAAGAAAAATACATATTTAAAAAATAATTTTTATCTCCACAGCATTCTGTTAGGCACTGAGATGTTTTATACAGAAAAATGAGTATGTTCAGAGAACATTCTGGGCTATTTGTGAATCACTGGGGAATCATTTTAAGCTTATTCCATTTCTCCTTACTAAGTAAAGAGATATTCTGTATTTGGATCTATGTGATATGTGTAGTTTTGGAAAGTCAAGTCCAGAATATCAAAGAAATACTGCCACAGAGTATGTTTTAGAAACATTAGAAATTTACCAAGCATGTAACATTCCCTTACAAGTAGTAGCCATGGGAGACATTGATTTCTAAAGTCAATCATGATTAAAAGCAGCAAATAAGGCATCAAAGAAGACATTCACAAAAACTGTGCCACAGAAATTCCAAAAGAGGAACATCATCAAAATAAGTGACTACTCTAAAGGAGGTATCATTTAGATATGATATGTAATAGACTATTTAAAAAAAAAAAATCAAAGCCAGGCAGTGAGTGGCATGTGGGAGGCTGAGGTGGGAGGATCACTTGAGCCCAGATCAGCCTGGGCAACAAAATGTGACCCCACTTGCGGGGGGTGGTTAGCCATCACATTCTTTAGGTTATCTATATAACATATCCAAATACATGCATATTGGCTCATATTTTCAAATGAAGATCAACATGTGCTTGAAACTCTCATTTTTTTCAAGTTCTCAAATCAGGCTTCTTTGGGATTAGAGAACTTGAATTTACTAAAGACAGGTAAAGAAAAAACTTCCATACACATAGAAAATCTGATGATGGGATCACTCTACTATATTTGTAGCTTAAAAGGGCTGAGCAGCGTTGGGGAAGGCAAACAGTGGAATGAGTATAACCTGTTTCTCCTACATAAGACATAGGCCAGAAAAAAAGGAATGTTCTAGAGTACATTGCTGAGATTCAAAAGTCTGACACTAGAGAAAGGAAGAAGCGCTAAGGCTGCTTTAAGTTCCAGAAGCAATATATGGTTGCCCTTTAATGTATCCCCAACAGTTAAAACAATGACTGCCACTTGTCATAAAATAAACATCACTTCAGTAAATCAATAAGTGAAATGGAAATGTTTTCAGACAGGATCTGAATATCCACTGTCTATAAATACATTGATAAATAACAGATATTTATTTATATAATGAGGTTCTGCACTACATGTGAAAGATCTAAGAACTGAAAGCTCTGTAAATACCATCATACAAGGTAGTAAACAATTATCACATGTAGTATGTGCTATCGAAATATAATGGAAAACGGTTCCAGAATTATAAAGAATCTGAGCAATAGAGTTGTGTTATACATATTAAGAACTGTCTTCATTATTTGTCTTTGTTGTACAATGTACTTTACACATGAGACATAGGAAAAATTGAAAGGGCAGAAGTATATTTAGACTAAAAATTCATATTATTGTAGCTTAAGGGGGGGCTGGGCAGCGTTGATTTTAGTATCCTAACTAAAATCATCATATTGGGAAATCTCTCTTGCTTGAACCATATATTCTAGACTATACGGAGTAGTAGGTGGTAAAAGAGGCTACGTAGGGGAGAGGAAAAATGTTAGATGAGAACTTACTGGCGGGGGGAAAAAACACTGAAGCGATGGAGCAAAGTGCTGATTTATTTTGCAATAGCCTAACCTTTTTGGATGACGCCAGTTAGATAAAATTACAGTGCTTCCAACAGTGACTAAGGGAGAATCTAGCAACGGGAGCTTTTAGTCGAAATAGCATGTTCTGACCTGAGGTGCGACTTCAGGCTTCTGCAATCTGCCTTGTTTTGACTTTGGGAGGTGAGGGTGGAATTGCTTCCAAAAAACCCCAAGCTTCATCCTATACGTGATGGGGCTAAAGTGAAACAACCGATTGTCAGGGCAGAAGACCCTAATGCATTCCGAAAGTGTGCGAGTCCTGAGAGGCGCGCCACACGCGAACGCTGTGAGGGCGCCTCCGCTCCCCTCGCCAGGGGACACCTGACACCTCAGCAGGAGGCAACTCAAGGAGCAGGTCAACACACCCACTCCCGACGCCAGCCAGGGAAGGCTGCGCAGCCTTGAACACAGCCCGGCCCGATGGAGGCGGCCAGCGACAGGCGAACTCCGCGAGACTAGAGAGAGGGTGCCGCGGCAGCGAAGCCGGGCGAGGCGGGGTCGGAAGGCTGGGCGACGCGTGGTCCCTCCGACCCCCGCCTTGCCTCCCGCCCGCCGCCCCCAGCCTGGGGCCGTTGGGTATGGGAAAGCGAGGGCCCTTACCCATGTGCTGCGTGTCCAGCTGCACAGCCGGCATCTCCTTCAGAGGGATGTGGCCCGTCCCGCCGTCTCTGCAGCATCGCAGGCAGCACAAAACCGAAGCGGCCATCGCGCAGGGACCACCGCTCCGTCGCCGCCACCGCCCCTATACCGCGGCGACACCGCCCCTCACCGTGCCGCCCCGCCTTCTGTCCCCGCCCGAGCGCAAGCGGCGTGTGGGGCGCAGAAGCTGGCACAGCGACGCCCCTGGCCGGGAGGCGCAGCGCAGGCTGATGCTAGCCGGGCCTGGAAGGAGTGGAGGATAGGCAGGCTGGGCCGGGGAGGTGGGCGGAGTTAGTGGCGTGAATGGATGGAAGAGGGCGTGGCGGGCGGGCGGGAGGCGGTGTGCGCCTGCGCACCGGGTGGGCGGCTTCACGCCCACCCCTAACGTTGACCGGTGAGGCTGTCCCTCTGCACTGTCGCGGTTTCTTGCATGAGTTATTTTTTTTCTGTTCTTTTTTTTTTTTTTTTTAAATGGGGTCTCGCTGTATTGCCAGACTGGTCTTGAATTCTTAGGCTCCCGCGATCCTCCTGCCTCAGTCTCCTGTGTAGCTGAGACTATAGGCGCGCGCTCTCCGCCGGGTTGGATGTCATGTTTTTAAAACTGTGCCTTTTTGCTCCACCATTATTTAACGCGCGGATTGACAGAAGCAGGCCAGGAGTATGGGGAGCTATTCAGAGTGACCTCCGAGGTTTCCCTTGTTCACCCAGGCCTGAGCAAGCTGTGCCTCCTAGGAGAGTCTATGTACTTCTCCAGGGGTTGGTTTCTGAAGAATTTCCGAATATGCTAACTGACGCACACGGGTGCCAGGAGAAAATGTCTTTTGGTGATTGCACTGTGGAGTACAAGCGGGGCCCCGCTGCATTTTAGGTACAGAGACGTACACGTATATTCCCTGTCCGTTGGTGCTGCGTGATCCGGGGCGCCCTAGGAGAGGATCCAGTGGTCGCTGCGGGAGGGCGACTCTTGACGGGTCTCTTCCAAGCACAGGTGCATTGAGGATTCCAAGTGAAGTGAATCCTGGAAGCTGTGGGAAGGCTACTTGGACCCCTATGGAACCCCTATGTACCTACCGTCGCTCGTTCTACTCCTTTTTTAAAAAAAATTAATTAATTTGTCTTACTTAGGTATATATGACAGAAGAATGCATTTTGATTCATTTTACACAAATGCAGCACAACTTTTCATTTCTCTGGTTGTATGCCACGTAGAGTCCTACCATATGTGCAGTCATACCTGTACTTAGGGTAATGATGTCCACCTCATTCCACCATCTTTCCTGCTCCCATACCCCCTGCTCCCATGTCCCCTCCCCGTCCCTCTCTCCCCTTTGCCAATCACAGTTCCTCCATTTTTTTTCCCATTCCCCTCCACCCCATTATGGATCAGCATCCACTTTTCTTCCAAGTAGAAGGCCACGTGGCTGTCACTTGTCATCTCCTTCCCCCTTAGACCATTCTTCTATGGTAGATTTTACACCTTCATATACCATAAAAACCACTAAAGAAAATCCTGAGCATGATGATGAACTACACTCTGATATACCATTTGGCGTCTGGAGATGATCTGGGAAGGCCTCTAGAATTAACTGAGCTCAAATACCTATTCCCAGATCAGGTTTCCATCCTAAAGGCCTCCCTGGGGCTCATCAAGACCTAGGCAAGGAACAGCACATAAATTTCCATTACTTAAGTAATGGATACCTGTACATAACTTTTTAGTCACCTGAGTACAAATATCCTTTATGGAGGATTTTTATCCATTGAATAAGGAAAATTTTCAGGCTCCTGAGTCTGTTTTCTCCATATAAAAATGATGTTTTCGTTACAGTACTAAGGAAAATTTCCCAAGTTTTGTACTTTGAGGTTTAGTTCCCATAGGATTAATTGCCAAACAGATTGAGGGTTCTCTCTCCACCCCAACACTCTGCCTATGAAGTATGTTTCTTGGTAATCATTTTACACATGAATTTTTCTTTTCCTGAAAACCTTGACCTTTCTAGAAATTTAGTGATACAGTTTTTTTTTTTTTCTTCTTCCAGGGGAGAAGGGTACTTCATAGAATGTTGGAGATGTTTCTGCCTTTGTACTAGGAGGTAGGCAGTCTTTTCACATATTTATCTAACTGAATTTTTGCAAGTTTTGAAGATTAGTACTATCCTTATTTTATAGTTGAAGAAATAGGCTTAGAGGAATTAAATAACTTATGCATCTTCAGATGAGTGAGAAATATACCAGGTAGGATTCAGAACTCACTAGCCTGACTCCTAAGCCTTTATTCCATCAGATAATGCTGCTTCTCAAATTCTCAAGTTCTAACTTGTAAATCTCCATGCTCCATAAAACAGTCATCACTTGTATATAGACAATATATAAAACAAAATTAGTTGTAAGGTAAAAATTTTTGTTTGGAACTTTTATTAAAAGTAGTATATACATTAAGTAGGTAATAAACATTTAGGCCATTCAGGTCAGTAACATCTTCAGTGAAAAACCAGAATAGTAGATGGCTGTGAATTAGCCCTTAACGTAGAGAGGCAGAAGTGCCATAGTCTTTTCTGTCTGGAAAAGTAATTTGCCCACTGCACTTTGCCCTCCTGTCCCAAGTCAAGTGTACTCAGCAGAATAAAGCAAGCAAAACCGGTTAGCTCCTGAAACAGATTCCCTGTCTTGGCAGATGAATGCCATCTGTGAGCTCATGGACTTTTTTCTTCTTATGTCTGGGATTCTATTATCCTCTTTTTATTACTTTCAAATAGTTATCCTTTCTCTTTGAAAAGCACAGTGTTGGGCTGGGTTTGTGGCTCAGTGGTAGAGCACTCCCCTAGCACATGGGAGGCCCTGGGTTCGATCCTCAGCACTCCATAAAAATAAATAAATGAAATAAGATGATATTGTGTCCAACTAAAAAATAAATATTTAAAAAAGAAAAGCACAGTGTTAAAGATATTTTCACAGTCTTTCACAGCTAACACTTTAAATAATAATCATGAATCCCTACAAAATGTTTCTTAATAGTTAGAATGCTGTTTATCTAAGTCAAAAGCAATAACAAAGAATCACTACTGGGGGAGAAAARTCTTGCTTAGGTGACATATGCCAGGAACTGGAAAACTGATAGGACAATAATGTAAAGCATGTATTTTATAGTGTAGTTTATCATCATGCTCAAGATTATTTTCAGTGTTTTTATGGCAGGCAGACATCTCCTACTCACACTCTGTACTGGTTCATATAAAGTGGTTTCTTTCTTAAGAACTTATTAATCAGTTATTAAGTCAAACATTTTTTCTTATTGTAATCTAAATCACATTTTCAGGTGCCTTAAAATCATAAACATTACAAATGACATTCTAAAACATGATCTAGTCATTATTATAAATTGGAGTAATATAACTGACATTTATGTAGTGCTTTCTATTGCCAGGCACTGATCTAAGTGCTTTGTATAATCTAATTTAATCCTTGTAACGACTTTGTGAGGGAAAAGCTATCCTTCACTTTATAGAAAAGGAAACTGAAACAAAGTAGATAGAAGATATACCCAAAGTCACAGTCAATGAAGAATGAAACTGAATTAAAAACAGGAGGTCTAGCTCTTGGTCTGTACTCTTTTTTTTTTTTTTTTTTTTTTTTTTTAATGGTGCTGGTGATTGAACCCAGGGCTTTGATGCATGCATCAACTTAGCTATATCCCCATCCCTGTATTCTTAATCACTATGCACATTATGCAAACTGCCTGGGTTGCTACATTTAAAAATAGGTTTCTAATTTTTTTTTGTTTGTTTCCTTCTAATGCCTTGCCTCAGAAATTGACATTTAAATTTACCTGGGATTGACCTGGGGATGTAGCTCAGTGGTTCAGAGCACATGACCAGTATATATGAGGCCCTGCGTTTAATACAACAGTACTAAAACAAAAATAAACCAGAAAAACTGGTGTTAATTGCATACATTTAGTCTGTTATTGAATAATAAAGTATGTTACCTATATTCAACAACCAAAAATAAATGAGAAAAGTAAAACAAGAACTCTATACTTCAATAGACTGCCATTAGTCCGTTTGCAGCTGTACTCTGTCAGCAGCCCCTTTGAACTGTTTGGCAAGACTGTCCTCAAAGGGTGGCTCTAAAGAAAGATAGAAAGGATATTTAATACTTTTAATTGCTTAGTCAGTTAAGCCAGGTAGGAGACTTGGAAAATACAGAGATTTGGCATTAGAAAGAGAAGAGAAGATGGAATAAAGGAATTTGAAAAATAAACAATAACAACAACAACAACAAAATAAGAACAATAGAGGGTAGAGCAAAACAATTTTTTTATATTGAAAAAGAAGAGAAGCTGGGCATGGTGGTGTATATCTGTAATCCCAGTGATTTGGGAGACAGAAGCAGGAGGATCACAAGTTCAAAGCCAGCCTCAACAATTTAGGGAAGCCCAGTCTCTAAATAAAGAAATAAAAAGAGCTGGGGATATAGCTTAGTAGTTAAGTACCCCTGGGTTCAATCCCTGGAACCAAAAAAAAAAAAAAAAAAAGAAGAAGAAGAGACAGAAACTAATAGCTAGTGCTGTATGAGGCCCAGGGAATAAAAAGTATGTTTTACTACCCAAAATTTTCAGCCAAACAACTGTTCCTGCTTTCTTCCAGTGGAAGATGAAGTAGGCAGTCATCAACCAAGGGGAATTCTGCAGATCTCTGCTCAACCTCCAGTTCCCCCACTCAAAATACAGGTATCCTAGATATCTAAATATATTTTCCTCACCAATTTAGATTCCAAATACTACTGCTGCAATAATTAGGAAACAGGAACATTGAGGATACAAAAAGGAGGCAAAGCAAAGGTCATTATCAAAGTAGGTTTTTCATTCTCAAGAGATATGAAGGAAGATGATGGTAAGTACAGTTAGTTCTTAGATCTTCCCTAGTTATCTATTTGTTGAGGGGCACTTAAACTTGTGGCGTGCCTACAAAGAGTTGATGAGAAGTGTTTTGTAAAAAGTTTTCATGGCCAAAGATAAGACTGAATAACTTGGTATTTGAAACTGGATTCTCAGCCTCTGCTACAGTAGTGTTGCAGCAGACCCTAGCCTCCTGCTAGTGCCTTCTTTTTGGGCTCTTGTGTTCAAAAAATGAAATCCATGGACAAAGAATAGTAAGCATAAAACATT